AATCCATGAATATGGCACATCTTTCCCTTTATTTAGGTCTTCTTCTATTTCTTTCAACAATATTTTGTAGCTTTTACAGTATAAGTTTTGTACTACTTTTGTTAGATTTGTTTCTAAGGATTTTATTATTTTTGATATATCCTGCATGGAATTGTTTTTCAGTTTCATTTTCAGGTTGTCCACTGCAAAGGTTTAGAAATAGTAGCACAATTGATTTCAGCTGGGCATGATAGCTCATACCTGTAATTCCAGTACTTTTGAGGCTGAGGCGGGAGGATCACCTGAGTCCAGGAATTCTAAGTTACAGTGAGCTACGATTGAGACACTGCACTGCAGCCTGGATGACAGAGCAAGATGCTGTCTCCAGGAAAAAAAAAAGATTATGGGCCGGGCGCGGTGGCTCACGCCTGTAATCCTAGCTCTCTGGGAGGCTGAGGCAGGCGGATCGTTTGAGCTCAGGAGTTCGAAACCAGCCTGAGCAAGAGCGAGACCCCTTCTCTACTAAAATTAGAAAGAAATTAATTGGACAACTAAAAATATATAGAAAAACTTAGCCGGGCACGGTGGCGCATGCCTGTAGTCCCAGCTACTTGGGAGGCTGAGGCAGGAGGATGGCTTGAGCCCAGGAGTTTGAGGTTGCTGTGAGCTAGGATGACGCCACGGCACTCTCTCTAGCCCAGGCAAAAGAGTGAGACTCTGTCTCAAAAAAAAAAAAAAAAAGATTATGTCAGCTGCGAATACCAATAGTTTTATTTCTCCCTTTCCAATCTGGATGCCTTTTATTTCTTGTTTTTGCCTAATTGTCCTGGCTGGAACCTCCAGTACAATGCTGCATAGAAGTGGTGAGAGCAAGCACCTTTGTTCTTCATCTTAGAGGGAAAGCATCCAGTCTTCTACAATTAAATATAATGTTAGTTGTGGATTATTTTGTCCAAGGCTTCTTTCAGGTTAAGGAATTTCCCTTGTTTTCCCAGTTTGTTGATTGTTTTTATCATGAAAGGGTTCAAGGAAATTTCCATATTTATTAAGTTATTTCCTACAGCTCCCTTAAACCAAATTGGTGTGAGTTGGGAGTTAGTGCAATAATCTGCCTTCTCTGCTCCTATCGCAGATAGGAACACTGCCTGCAGAAAAAACACACAACAAATAGATTTATGCTGTGGGACCACTCCCAGATCATGTACTCCAGCCTCTGCTCCAGCCTCCTTCCTGTCGTTTTCCTTGCTCTCTGCTATCTGACATTCTGGTCTTTAGAAGTACCAAAATACCGGGTTCCAACCTGCCATTGCACATGCTGTACCTCCTCCTCCTTTCACCCTCACCTGACACATACCTGCAACCTTTGGTCCTCAGCTCAAGGGTTGCTTCCTCAACTGATCTCATAGTTTCCATGCTTTTCTTTTCGGCAGTGCTTAAAATGTGCATGTGCGCACACACACCTGTGTATATGTTTAATGTTTATTTGCCCCACTAGATTACGTGCTCCACGAAGTTAAGATCTATCATTTAAAAAAACACATACATCATGGTTGTACATATTTTGGGGGTACATGTGATATTTTGATACATGTATACAATGTATAATGATCAAATCAGGGTAATTGGGATAGCACCTGAAACATTTATCTATCCTTTGTGTTGCAAACATTACAATTCTTCTCTTCTAGCTATTTTGAAATATATAATTGATTATTGTTAATTATCATTTTTCTACTGTACTATTGAATACTAGAAATTATTCCTTCTATCAAACTGTATTTTTGTACTCATTAACCAACTTTTCTTCATCCCCCCACCTTGTGCTTCTGGTAACTATCATTCTACTCTCTACCTCCATGAGATGCACCTGTTTAGCCCCCATATATGAGTGAGAACATGTGATATTTGCCTTTCTGTACCTGATTTATTTCACTTAACATAATGACCTCCAGTGCCATCCACATTGTTGCAAATGACAGAATTTCATTTTATGGCCAAATAATATTCCATTGTGTATATGTACTATGTCTTCTTAATCCATTCACCTGTTGGACACTTAGGGCGACTCTGTATCTCACCTATTGTGAATAGCGCTACAATAAAGACGGTAGTGGAGAGCTCTTTGATGTATTTATTTCCTTTCTTTTGAACATATGCCCAGCAGTTGGACTGCTAGATCATATGGTAGTTCATGGTTTTTTGAATAACCTCCATACTTTTTTCCATAATGGTGGTACAAATTTACATTCTCACCGACAGTGTAAGAGCATTCTCCTTTCCTCATCAGCATTTGGTATTTTTTGTCTTTACTAGCCATTCTAACTGGGGTGAGATATTTCACTGTGGTGCTTTGTTTTGTTTTAGAGACAGGGTCTCACTCCATCACTCAGGCTGGGGTGCAGTGGCAGGATCATAGCTCACTGTAGCCTTGAACTCCTGGTATCAAAGGATCTTCCCGCTTCAGCCTCCTGACTAGCTAGGACTACAGAAATGTTCTTTCTTGCCTGGCCAATTTTTTAAAAAAATTTTGGTAGAGATGAGGTCTTGCTATATTTCCCGGGCTGGTCTCAAACTCCTGGTCTCAAGTGGTCATCCTGCTTTGGCCCCCCAAAGCACTGGGATTACAGTTGTGAGCCACCATGCTGGCCTCACTATGGTTT